ACACATACATACATACATACATACATACATACATACATACATACATACACATTTGTATAAAAGTAGACATATAGTGTATATATATATATATATATACATATATATATATATATATATATATTACACATTTCGTATATGCATATCGTATATCCACATATGCTGTTTTAGAAAGATTGTGTACTTTCTGAATCCGAGATGCATGAACAGCAAGCGAAGAAGTATTGTGCATAGACTTCTGGCGTGAGATCGACAGCCGAGGCTGTTCCAGAGGAGGCCACTGCGAGAGAGGAGAGTTGTATGCGAGGGGGTGGGGTGGCCAGGCCTAGCCAACCAAACCATGTTGGCAGTCTCCCATTGTAAACCTTGGCCTTTAGTGCCATAGGGAATGATGGTGAATGGGCAGTCTTCTGCATTGGTTAAGAACCTTAAGCCCTAAACACAAAGTGGATTTCACTCAGCTGGATTGGCGAGGCGGAAAAAGGTCTTCAACAAAAAACACCTTTAACCCATGAGCCGTAAGATGCAAAGCCTTGAGCCCCTACATTCCAAACCCCTGCAGTCCGAACTCTTGAACCTAGACCAGACAGTGCCTGAGACGTACACAAGCATGGGTCGGAAGCTTGAGGCGGAAATTCCCCTAAGTCCGGCGGCGCTCGCCGCGGCACTCGGCACACTCCGGGGGTCGAAGTCTCAGAAGTCCGTGCGTGGGATTCAAATTTCAACACAAAGGGTCAACCTATGGGAGGGCTGGGGGATGTGACGGTGTAGGATATGCCGCTGCCAGCACTGGCAGCTGTGTCTGTGTCTATCTATCATTTCATCAGACCTCTGCCTCTTTCTTGCTTTGACTGATTTCTCTCTTTCTCTCTCCCAATGCATGTCTCTATCCAAATATATACATCTCTTTGCCTAAACGGCATAGGACATGCTTCCCCAAATGGGCACATCATCGTTGCAGGTTGAAGCTGAGCGAGGAGAGCGCCGTCGTTCTCTGCCGTGATGGACCCGCCCTGCTGCAGTTTGGCATAACAAGCACTGCTTGAAGCAGCCTTTAGGCGCTGGGTCACTCGCAGCTCTAAATGTGCACGGTTCGCTGTGCTGGACACTGGCAGTTTGCCAGCATCCGAACCGAGAATTGTTGGAACCTGGAGGACGCTCGATTTCTTCAGCGGTGGCGGCCTCCTGGCTCGTCTTGGACTGTGGTCAGGCTCATTGCTACGGCACATGATCCCTAAACCCAAACCCTAATAAGCCCTAAACCCTAAATTCTGACCCGGGCCGTATCTTCAGAGTACACTAAACCCTAAACCTTGATGCAGTGCCAGCCTCTCAGAGGCGATCGATGACGCGGTCGCTGCTGTTGTGGACTCCGCCACGGCGGCGGGGAGCCGAGCTGCCAAAAGCCCATTTTTAGGGTTTGGGGTTCAGGGTTTTGAGGGTTTAGTTTAGGGTTTGAGGGTTTAGGGTTTAGGGTTTAGGGTTTAGGGGTTTAGGGTTTAGGGGTTTAGGGTTTAGGGTTTAGGGTTTGAGGGATCTGAGATAGTCAGTCCTTGAGGTTGGAGCCTGCAGGACGCCACTGCAAGCCTTCGAAAGCAGCCGCGAGGCGGCTAAGAGACGAGGGCCAGGGCATCGCCGGTATGAAACACTGACACGGAGTTGTGATGTCTGGAGAGAGCAGACAGATCTCAGGTAGCGTCGTGACTATCCGAAACACTCTACTTCCATGGAGCTTGCGAAGTTGCAGGCCTTCTCGGCTGCCCTCTCCGCAGCCAGTTGAGCGGCTTCAACGGAAAAGTCAGTGGGGCTCAGTCTCAGAAGTGAGCTCGCGCGGCTTTCAAGATCCTACCGGACCTCTACCAGCAAGGGCGGCCCGGAGCTCGAGAAGCGAGGATGCTGCTGCATCACCCTGCTGCCGCAGCCTGACCTAGCCTCCTGAACCTCCGGCGACCTCATGCAAAAAAATGCAGCACGATATGATTCCAGAAATGCCGTGCAGTCGCGAATCAGGCTGGAGCGAGGTTGAGTTTGTTTGCATCTGGACTGCAGCTGTTTGAGCCCAGCGTCGAGATGGAGGAGGCAACGCCTCCGCCAGAGCCTTCACAGGCCCTGCCAGATCTACCCGATGCACACGAAATCATTGAGGGCCTCTTTGTGGGGAATGCCGATGCCGCAGTGGAAGCCACAACAGGGCCAAATTCCCGAAACATCAGCCACATCCTCGACGCAGCAGGCTGCGTCACCCCCGCCATCTTCGCCGCTCTGGCCAGCGCGTTGGCAGAAGAACAAGCCGCAGAAGAAGCTCCCGAAGTATGCGAGCCGCCGGCAATGAGCCGGAAGTCGGAGCGCACGCAAAGCTACTGGCTGAATGGCATCGAGACCCTGTCGGCTCCCTTGGACGATCACGGACGAACGGAGCTCTCCGAGGACGGACGGCTCTCAAGGAAGCTGGGGACCCGACTAATCAAGACGCTCTTCGTGCGAGACTCCTACGTATCCTGGCACTAAGGAACGGCTTATAGAACCAGAGGTTTCTTAATCAAGTTCCTACATCAGCTAATTCTGTCCGGAGCGTTACATACCTTGTCAAACTGCGGTTTGCGACCGTTGAGAAGTAACATCTCCCGGAGCTGTTGGCGGATGCCTGCTGCAGCCCGACAGCGTAGATCATCCTCTGAACTCAGAAGGAAGCTTTGTACACTGGTCTATCCAAACCCCGCTAACCCTGCAGCAGAAAGACCCGACCTTTGGGGGGCCTTACAGTCACAACTGGGAGGTTGGTCTGCGCACAATCACAACTGGGAGTTTGGTCTGCGAACCCAAAATCACCCCCTAATCATATAACCCCATACTTGTCAAACAGATTGGTGCGAATCTGCCACGTTGCTTTACACACCCATACATACACGTCAAACGAGAGCGTGGCGAATCTGCCGCTTGGGGCTTCGCGCTCGCACGTGTCAAGCAGTGAAGGATAAACCTTTAGCCTACAGAACAACAATAAATCTGCATGGCAAACAGGACGGGTAAAATGAATTTGCTTCTGCACGCCCAGACTCACATTGCAAACAGGATGGGCAAATCCGGGGCTTTAAGCTCCACCAAGAAGTACATGCCAAGCAGGGTTGGGGTAAACTCAGACATATATACAATCCGAACGGATAGGCTGAATCTGCGTCTTTGAGCAACTCTCACATGCAGACATACATGTCCTAGGGATCGAGATGCGTCTGCGGCTCTGAGCTTCAAAAAAGAGCCCAGGCATACATGTCAAGCCGGATTCTGGAATTGCGGTTTTGAGCTACACACCCAAACTAATTACATGTCAAACATGAATGCGTACGTCTGCGGCTCTGAGCTACACGCACATGCAAGCCTTTTCAGACAGTATTCGGGCAGACCTGCGGCTTTGAGCTACGCAGGCTTCCTCACAAGCTTTGCTTTGAGGCATTCCAGCTGCAGGGTTTTGCGGACGCAACAGATCAAAAGGGTCGATCAAATGAAGAACCAACGAATTCCTAAACCCGATCCAAGTTCCGTAAAATCAAGAACCCTGAGCCATCAATGCCTCAACAGCTCGTCAACTTTATGCGGAACTAGCAAAACTCCAAGACGACTCCTCAATCTCGGAACAAATCCGAACCTTTTAGACTCAGTTGGCCCAAATCAAACCATCAAGAGCACCAGGAGCTTCAGAAGACGTGGTTCGACTTCATCGAGAAAGGTCTTGCTGGTGGGAAGGCGCTGGAAGGTAGAAGGTATTCAGGGCTAAGGTCGTTTTATCTGGGTTCTAAAATTCTAAATCACTGAACCCTAAACCCTAAATCGCTAAACCCTATCACTGATGATTTTTGCATCGTGGCAGTTTTGAAAGGCTTCGGGGTCTTAGGCTGAGAAAGAACTTGGGTTCAGGGATTTGAGGTTTGGGGGTGCGGCTTTAGACCCTAGGGCTTAGGGGAAGCCTGTACTGCTGGTTGATACCTGCGTGTTCTTTTGGAGCATGAGTGTAAAGTCACCGGGCGCCCTACGTCGAACACCAGTTTCGAGTGCAGCTGACAGTACAGCATTCGGGCATGCTGCTGTTGATAATGGTATGATCCGATGAGTCTTCCGGAGCAGATTCTACCCTAGTACGCGACAGTCGGTCATTGTGCATGTCATCGTATACCACAGCTCCATTTGCCTTGATCTTGCGAGTTTCTTCAAATCCTCGCAGTAGACATGATAAGTACCCTGTGTATATGGAAGTGGTAGAGCGGAAGAAGTTGTATAGCAAAGCCACCAGCAATAGCCTAGAGCCTATAGACCCCCAACACGCCCATCGAACCCTCAATCCTAATCTCTCAATGACAGGTCCTCGTCCACTGCCGCTTGGGTGTGAACCGCAGCGTTACAGTGGTGGCGGCCTTTCTTGTGCGATGCCGTGGCTTCACCCCGGAGGCTCCACTGACACCCCCAAACCGACTGGTATAAAAGTGCTGCAACAACAAACCCAAAGCGGTACCATGACGTCTTTTTCCATCGTATACTGAGACCGTGAGACCCTTCAAGCGCCCTAAAACCCGAAACCCGCAAACCCTGAGCCCTGCGCTGCAGCATGCTGCAGCCTAAGACCCCAAATGAAGCCATACACTTTAGATAGGCCCACCCAAAACCCTAAACGAAGCCATGTTGCCCTAAAAGTAGCTCCCTCCCACCTCAGAATCATAAATCAGGCTAGGAAGTCTTTTGCAGCCCTTTTCTCCAGGCGGTTTTGGATTTAGATCTTAGGGTTTACTTTAAACCAGAAGAACCCTAATCCTAAACCCTACAACCCTGAACCCTAAACCCTCAAACCCTGAAACCCAAACCCTAAACCCTAAAACCCTGAACCCTAAACCCTAAACCCCTGAGGTGGAAAAGGGCTCTCAAAAAAACAACCCTAAACCCTGAAACCCTAAACCCCAAACCCCTCTCGAAGGAGGCCCTGCACCTGCTGGTGGAACGGCGGCCCTGTGCAGACCCGGTTTCTGCGTACCGGACGCAGCTCCAGAGCTTAAAGACGAGGCCGCGAGACTTTGGGAAACCTTCTTAGTGTACACCGTTATCGTACATGGCAGTATATTATTATCGTATATGATAGCATGTTATTACAGTATAATCTGATAGTATGTTATTATAGTATGTTATAATCGTGTATGATAGTATATTATAGTATGCTATCATAGTATATCATAGTATATTATAGTACATAAGTTATAGTAAATTATAGTATAGTATAGTATAGTACAGCATAGTATAGCACAATATAGTAATCTGGTGTTCCTACAACAGTTTGACAATGGTGTACGGCCTATGTCTGCCGGAAAGCAGGTAGCGATGCTTCAGTTTGTGGCCCAACGGGACGACCTTCTTTGCGATCGTGGTGCGTCTTTCAGGATGCTCTTGGGCAGCAGCCCAGTCCTCCGTGAAGGCCACAGAAGACTATGGACTGGACGGGTTTAGGGTTGAGGTCTATCAGGAGTCAGGGTCTCTTTCCTTTCAGGGAGGTGCTGCTGATAAACTCCAAGTGCGCGGGTGTGACCGGCATTAGCATTGCGCTGCTTTGTCAGGCTTCACTGCCCGAGGGCATCGCTGATACTACGATTGGATGTCGGGGAGCTGAAGTCGGGGAGCTGAATGCAGAGACCCTCGGTAGCTTTCCTGTGTCACGCGGAGGCCGGTCCTGATTGTCGGGGAAGCACAGATGGTCATCACACCTGCAGCCGGCTTTGCGACACCTGGCGGGAGCATTGCCATTGGCGCCTTTGGCACGCGACTCTTGAGGCGGTTCACGTCGGCAGGAGTACGTCGTGGTCATCCCCACCTACAGCACTTGACGCCCGCGAACGCGGTGCCGAGCGAATGAAAATGCAAGAAGGGCAAGAAGCCATTCATCCTGGTAAAACTGGAGCCGCAGAAGATCGAGCCTGGGCGCGCGACGCTGTCAAGGCCGCCCTGCAATCCGCACCGTGGGAGAACGTGGAGATCAGGTTCGGGGCGGCCTCAAGCCTGGCCAGGCGGCTTGCGGCGGCCGCGAGCTGAAGCAGCTATTCGTGCATTCAAGACGAAGCTCGCCAGTTATGAGCTCTGACGTGGCAGAATCAGGAACGGAACTGATCGCCTGCGCCGCCCACCCGGCCTTTCCCGTCCTCAGCGCGGAGGTGATGTCCATGATCGGGGTTGGTCGGTTTCGTTGACAGGGACAAGTTGCACAAGCCTTTCAAGGACTCCAAGCTGCTGATGCGTGACACGGCTTGAACGGTGAAAGGGCCAAGCGGCCAACCACCTTGGCCGCATCAGTCCGGCACAAGTTCTACTGGCTCAAGAGGTCCATGAGGCAGTCGTCGGAGTCAGAATCGGGCACTGGGCGCTCCTTTCAGTGACCTCCAACAGCGGTGTAGCAAGCTATGGGTCGTTTCTGGACGATGCTGGACACGCAAGTCATCATGGACCACCTGGCGGTCATCGTCAACAGCGACAACGCATGACCCCTGCGCATTCGGCGGCTTCTGCTGCAAGACTTGGCACCGTGTGCATTTTAGGGGCAAGCGGACTGACAGAACGTGCACCACAGACTGATCGCCGAGGCGACAAGGATCTCGCAAAGCGAGGCTTCATCAACAGGAAGTCCGCACCATGGTATCACAGCGGCTCAAGGCGAAACCCTGCCGCCCGCAAGGACCACCAGACTACATCGTCCTCGTCCCGGCCGCGGTCGTCGCCTCGCATTTGCTGTATAATTATATAGAGCGTTACAACTTTTCCCGCAGGTGGCCGCATGACTGAGTCAGAAGCATCGGGGGAGTCCGACGCTGTCTGCTTAGGATGCAGAATATTTGTTACTTACACAGAAAACTGTGCTGCGGTGTCAGCACTGTCAATGCTAATTGACAGTTATGTGACAGATGTGACAAATGCTGCAGCTTTCGTCCATTTTGGTTGGAGACGGTTCGGAAGGCACCAGCAGGGGCCAGCTCAGCAGCGAACGCAGTTAAGACCCGATGTTGAAAGCAAGTTCTCCCTTCATCATGCGGGCTCGAGGGCCCGTTCCTCAAGGATGGTCGGCATTGAGCTTGTGCCTGCGTTTGCAGGTTTTGCTCCCGCGAGCTCAGAGCCATGCAGATTCGTCACCGTTTATTTTCTGGCAGGCGAACCTCAACCCTCACACCTATGCTTGCCTGCCCACGGTACCGGGGTAGTGGCGGATGTGTACTTGCCTCCATCAAGCTCGCTTCTCGTCGCGCAGCAGAGCAACCGGCCCAAGAAAAGGAGGGGACATGCTTACGCAATGTAATGTGACACTCGAATCTGAGTCTGACGGAGATGAGAAGGTCAGTCACGAGGGAATCTTCCTCATCAGGTTTCCATCAGGTCCAGGTGAAGGCTGCAGTGCATGGATGAAGAACGTGAAGGTGAGGTTATGATGCATTTTCCGAAAATTGGAATGGTTGCGGCGTGTTGGGATGCAGGCGAGGCAGCCAGCAAGGCTTGCGTTGACAATTGTCCGAACTAGTAGAAGCAGCAGCCCGGATGCTAGGAAGTATGTGCAATTATGTGCGTTCATGCGACATACAGTAACAGTAAGTCTGCATATTATATGTATGTTTAGAGACACACAAAAGCACCTACATCCCTGCACTAGACCCCTCACGTGCACACAGGGCAGGGTTTGCCTGTCGCAGCTGAGCTAATTGGTCCTGGGCCGCAGTTTGGGGGTCTTGAAAAGGTCAGGGTAACCCCTCAACAAAACCCTAAACCCTGCAAGCCAAGCGTCTGCATCGTCTGCGCTGTGAGACCTGCAGTTTCTTCCCTCGAGCAGCACCGCAGACATCGCAGCTGACAGCTTCCTAAACAGTGCCGCAATGAGTCCGTTTGGCCTGGCGGCTTCAGGACAACATGGCATCATAAACTGAAGCTTAATCGGTCAAGCTGGATACATAAGCCTTGAGGCTGTACTCCGAATATGAGATGAAAACGGTCCCTGAGTTCGCCCTGAGTTGGGTGGCTTCTCCCTCCCAGCCTGAAGTAGTCAACCCCCGCTGCCCCTCTCCGAATTTAGACATGTCCTGGTGACGTCTTATCTTCTGTCGCCATGGTGTTCATGTTCCCCATTCTGCTCGCCTCCCTTCGTGCCATCGGCGTGGCTGTGACAGTCATTGTCGCGGGGATCCTGGCGACCCGTTTCAAGGTCTTGACGCCTCCGGAGCACAGCTGCATGTCGAAACTGTCCATGAAAGTGGCCATGCCTGCTCTGGTGTTTTCACGCATCCTCTATTGCAACCAGTGTGCGGACCGGGCCGACTGTCCTCGTTGTGCTCCGTTCTCCGAGATCATAAGATCAAGCTGGATTCTGTTTCTGCTGCCTTTGGTGGTAGTTGGGCTTGGAACCTCTCTCGGCAGAGCAGTGGCGGCTCAGTGGCAAGTAAAAGTGGTAGTGGCGGTGGCAGCCGTGGCCCTCGTCGTCGTCGTGGTAGTGGTAGTATCAATGTCAAGCATCACGACAAAACAGCATGCAGCTGCCCGGGCTCCTCTGCCTGGAAATCGTAATCGTGCTGAGCCTGCTGACTAACCACAGCCACAGTCAAACGGACACTGTAGGGTCCAGATTCCAGATTCCGGATCGTGTTGGGACGGGTTGGCATGGGGATGCCGTCGGAGGGATCTTCCAGGGTTTGGGCTGGCAGACTTGCCACCCGGCATGATTCTGAGCTGCCGGTAGGTTAGAAGTCAGAAGTCAGCAGTCTTCTTGTTCTCGTGCTTGCACACTTACGCGTGACTTGCAGCCGTGTATCGATAGAATCAGGCCGCAGTTGCCGAAGTGCCCTCGGACTTTCGACGAGGGACCATCTGCGCAGTCGCTTTTGGAAACTCCACCGGCATGCCAGTGGTGCTGCTGACAGTGGTGGGTCAATCCATGACGGCTTTTGGGAACGGCCCCATTGGACATACCGACCCCCTGCTTCATCTTCCCGCCTATCTGATGCTGTACCCTGTCCTTCAGTGGGGCATTGGTACATGGCTGCTGGCCCCTACAGCAGACGAAGAGATCACGCTGACCATCCCGCCCCCTTGCAAGGGGACGTTGCCTCGACTCTGTGGAGCCGAAGAGGGCTTCTACTACATGGGCCCTTTAAGGCAAGCCCTGGAACATGCCTTGGTGCCGCCAGTGCTTGCAGCTTTGGCCGGGCTCTTGGTCGCCTTGTCGCCCTGTCGAGGGATTCTGGTGGACCTCGCTGGCCAGGCCAACGACGCGCCTCTGGAGTGGCTCTATGATGGGATCTACAAGCTGGGGGATGCTGCGGTGCCGCTGAACTTGCTGATTCTGGGGAGCTCCCTGTCGCAAGGCGCCGACTTCGAGGCCCTACCTGTCAGGGTTGGCATGGCGATCACGGTCTGCAAGATGGTGGTCATGCCCCTCTTGATGAGCTTGATTGTGTATGGCCTGATACGCCTCGTGGATGGCAAGGATCCGGCCATGTGGCTCGTCGCCCTGATTGTGACCTGCACACCAACTGCAAACAATGTGGGTATCATGGCACATCTGGGCGGCCAAAAAGTCGAATCAATGGCGACTGCCATTTTCATCCAGTATGTCTTTGCCCCGGTGCTCATAGCTATGTCACTGACCTACTTCATGTGGCTATTATCTTCCGAATGGTACCTGCCGGCATCGTCGGTTTAGGCGAGCTTGATTGAGGCTTCGGCACCAAAGGTGCTGGCCTTCAACCTCATGCCGATTTCAAGCCAACCCTCCTGTTCCGGACTCTCGAGTGTTGAAAGTGTGGCATCTGGTTGTTCGTCGAGGACCCACAAAGCGTAGCAGCCCTGGTTCGTAATGCCCCAACGGTACCCCAATAGATCACCGAGATTGCCATCCCTCAAATTTGGCGGCTGCGGGAGTGAGAATCGCAGAGGCAAAAGACATCTGTTCAATGTTCAGTGCCCGTGACGTTGACAGCTTGGTAGTACTGGTATGCGTGCACATTGTGCAGATCCTGGTTGCAGTGTAATGAGTACCGCGGGCTTATTCTGGATTGCGGGCTTATCCCGGGTGTAATATAGGGGCCTTTATGATTCAGAAAGGTTAGTTGTTGGGATATATTCTACTATTATTAGAATAAGGAGCCCCCACCACCAGCTTCGCCTTTCTTGCGTCTCCCTTCTTGCCCCGGGTTTAGCGAGTCTCGAAGCGACGCTTTTGCTTGAAGCTTCTCGTCCAAGTAGTTCGGCTTGGAACTTCTAAACCCCAAGCAAGTAGTTCTTGGCTTAAACATGTGAATTTGCTGTTTGAATCGCCGGTTGTGCCGAAACAAGTGTGATGTTTGATCTCATACTTTGCTGCTGCATTATTGGAACCCTGAAGGAGCCCGTCATAGACCCCTCAAAGGAACATCGGTCACTGAACCAAGCGTGCTTCATGGTATCATGCTTAACCATCAAGAAAGATCTCTGACAGTCATTGAGAACACCTGCGCGAGACATGACCAGATGCTCATGCATCCGTGGCTCAAGACTCTTGTGTACCGAAGCCAACTGCCAAGATGGAGTACAAGAAGTCGTCGTCGAAGATGCGCAGAGTGATTAGGGGTGCTTGGAAGATGGGGCGAGTGCTACGACATGAGAGCCCCTGAACCCCAGGCCCACACCCCTTGGCGACGATTCAACGTTCGTCGCACCGTCCTGGAGGTTCCTTATTATAGTCATGGTGTAATGGGCCCCGATCACCCTATTTCACTTACTAAGGCCCCTATATTATTATATAATTAGTTTCTTCTTTTGGCATGCTGCGCATTGCAGCTGCCTCTGAGCCTACGCCGGTGGCCCAAGCTCGGATAGTCTTTTGCATTTAGGTCAAAAGGTGGCGGGCATTCATGTTGATGTTGCGGATGATGAGGCATGGTGATAGTGATGATGACGGCCATGCAGGTACTGATGCTCTTTTTGGCGATTGGTCCTCTTATGTTTACCTCTGATGTGAGTTTGGTCTCTACTACGACCCTGGTTCTTTCGTCGTGGTCGTTGTCGCTGTTGTTGCTGCCACTGCTTGAATTGTAGTCGTGCTAGTAGTAGTCGTCAGCGTAAGCAGTTGCAAGTAGCAACAACAACAGTGGTAGCAGTAGCAGTAGCACTGGCAGTGCAGCAGCAGCAATAGCAGTAGCCGTGGGAGCAGCAGGAGCAAGGGCAGGCAGGAGCATTGCTTATTTGCGTTGTTCATCGTGTCTGTCCTGCTACATACAAGCAGGCACCAGCCTTCATGCATGCAAACTCTTTAGTCAAGTCTGTCCTGCTGTAGTTGTCATTATCAGATTCGCCGTGCGCCGAGGCCGCCGTTGCCAGCTGATCGGCTATGGGCAGAGACCAAAGCGTCTCCGACCAAAGGCCGGTCGTCTTCTGCTCTGAACTCTAGGCCCCCAGACTCCAGACCCTCAAATGCTGTCTCCCAGAGGCTATACCGGCTATACCTGAACCCAAACCCGGCAGGCCGCATGCTATGAGGGAAGGAGAAGATGTTGTCCAAGCTTTCAGCCCAGGGCTAAGATGGAGGACTGCGCCTGTGTTGTGTTGCTTGCTTTTGGAGCACCGTTGAGTTCGATGGCACTTCAAACCCGAGCCGGAGCCGGTTGAGGTCATTTTCTTGGCTGTGCAATCTGTGGTGGCTCAGAGCGCCGTGGCTGCAGAGACATCGCAGACAGCGTCGAGGTGCCAGGGAAGGGCTTGCAACACATCCAAACCCACGCAACATCGTGCAAGTACACATGGTTGATCATGGTTGCGCATGCTTCGGTGGTTTGAATATGCCGTTCGAGAAGCAGTGTCGAAAGCATCTTGGTTCCGCTGGAACGCTTTTGAGGACTAGTTGCGTAATTAGAGGTACAGACATTTCTGTTTGCTTGAGCGACCGGTGAGCACAGACAGCTTCTACTTCAGTTACCTCACTACACATTTTTGAGAGCATGTGTGGCAGCGACAGCATGACTCCGCGATCGAACATACCTGAGCAGCAATTGAAGCGGTTCGGATGCAAACTCTGCGGGGTCGCGTGCGTTATGCATGTCGCCGAACTATCCGGGCGATTAACTGAAACCGACGAAGATTCTCGAAGTTCGTCTGCACGTGCGCCGCGGATGGGAATGATGCACTCCCATACAGAGCCACGCGTGGCCCAAGAAACGAGTATTAGGGGCCTTAATAATCAGAATAGGGTTTTGGGGCCATAACCATAACAAGGAACCCCCCAAATAGTATAGGTAATTATTTTTTTTGCCCCTACAGTATGCTGCCGGTGACTGCCCTGTGACATCTGTCTCACGTAGCCTCAGTGAGACGCTACCATGCAACACTAGTTCTCAACCCCGAAACATGCTATGCTCAATGTTCTACACTCGGTATCTCTATTGACAATCTATGCCGAAGTCAACTTCCACGTCTGCATCTCTAGCTGTAAGACCATCTGCGCCCCTGCATCACGAGCCAATCCCAGCGCTCTGATATCGATATTGCCGCCATACTGGCTCTGAGCGATGTGCTGAAGGGAATGTGCGATGGACCACAATGGAGGTAGTGGAAATCCTGCCGTGCTTGTGTCGATGACTGTTTTTTCTATTTTTCCTACTGTAGTTGCGTTAGGCATCTACGCTGTATGTGTAGGAATATTATGTTCGAAAGGTTGCAGTGCCCATAGCATAATCCTTGCTATGGAAAGCAGTTCTATTTGGATTCCGGTTGTTTCTTCCTATTTCTTCCTTCTGTCGTGATGTTTTCGCTTCGCCAATCTTTGCACCGCGCCATCCCAGGTCAAGCCATCACCGCATCCGGCGTGACGTTGGAAGCACCCAACAGCGCCCAGGCACGCTGCAAGATCATTTCCTTCAATATGTTCCACGCCAGCGCATCGGGGTCCAAGCTGTTGAGAAAGTGGGTCTTCTACGGCCTGTGGAATCCGGGGTTTCGAGTTTCGTGTTTCAGTAAAATTAAAACCGCCGTGCATGCTCCACGAACGAAAGCTACCCTCGGTGCAGGCCGCGTGCTGTTCGCTGCAGGTGACTTCACCGGCGCAGGCCGTTGCACCGACATGCAGCCAGGGTTTTAAGCTGGCAAGGGTGCTTTAGTATCATCTTGCTCACATATGGGTGTGCACGAACACTTTGACGAGGGCATCAACAGTGCGTGGGGCGAACAACAACTCTTCCGATACTGTGCATACTTGGTTTTTGCCTTGACCACCCCCGTGCGTGCAATTGTTATGCACTCCACCGTTTGCACAGCTACCGGGTGTCTTCTGTCTTGTAGCTGTGGCAGTGGTGAACAAATCTGCATGCTTTTCCTCCGTATGCTTCTGGCAGTTTTGGCCACGCGTAGTTATGTGCGCATATGGCGAGGAGGTGCATCTGGTAGCCGGCCTGCCTTACCTCCTGGGACTCCATGCAGCTTCCGGAGTGCTCGGAGGCGGGCACGGGATGAGTCACGGAATTCGTTTGATGGGCGAGGGATTTCGGTATGCACCTGAAACCCCTTAGATTTTGCAGTTCTTCATTATTCTTCAATGGTAGTTGTCGGACAGGGACATCCGAAGTAGCTCCAGCACCGTTTCACGCACGCTTCTCTTGCAAAACCTGGCCAGAAGCCGTCATGCTGCCGTCAAGCACTGTAAGCTGTGGTCCCTTCCCTTGGGCTGAACACTCTCAGCCGTTCTTGGAGAGGAGTAGGAGTCGGAGTAGGAGTAGAAGGAGGAGGAGGAGTAGTAGTAGTAGTAGTAGTAGTAGTAGGAGTAGTGGAGTATGAGCAGTGTGCCAGGCGATGCCACCTCTGCACGATTGCTGTTGGTCCACTCTGTGCTGGAGAATGGCGGCTATTTGGTACAAGATTGCTTGAGGCTAGATGCTGCTGCAGTGTTGTGAGGCTTTTACATACAGAAAGATGAATTTATGATAGAAGCGGTTCGCTTTACGTCATGCACCCGTCACTCTTTGTCTCGCTCTCTCTCTCTCTCTCTCTGCTCCCTCTCTCTTTTTCGTGCTCTCTCTCTCTCTATATATATATGTATATCTACGGTTTATCATGTTCATTCACATGTAGCGATACATGTGAATGAACATGATAAAGGTATGCATATAAGAAATAACATGAACTAACTCAGGCTGTATGACAAACAGACATGCGCCCATATATTGGCTACATAAATTACCTACCTGGCCACCTGCCTACCTACATATATACATACATACAGATAGTCAGACATGTGCACACATACAGACATGTGCCTCCATACATACATACCACATACACACATACATACATACATACATACATACATACATACCTACATACATGCAGAAGCGAAAGATCCGGGCAGCCAAACTGAAACAATGTGTTGCTTCGCTCGACCTGGCTGGCAGCTTACACGTTCGGGGTGAGGGATCTTCGCTAGCTTGTTTTTAGGCCCAGAAGGCGAGATGGCGATGTGAACAGAGTCGGGAAGCTGAGGCGACTGCCCATCGCAAGCCGTGCTCGACTTCGGAGGCGTCGAAGAGGGAATGGTCCTCGCAACTCAAGATTTATGGGGTATCTCAGCACTTCGTGAGAGAAGTGTGTCGGCTTCGCACTAGTGCCCCTTCCTGTGTCACATCCTGCGCTGTTGAATCGCCTAAAATTATCTGCCGAACCTTCTGAAGAGCGGCCCCT